TAACAGATATATAGGATATAAATAACTTTGAAGTCACCATATGTCAATTTCATCTTTTCTTCAATGTTACTTACAAGTATAAATAGCCCTACTCAAAAATCATTGAAAAGTACTGATTATTTGCTATACAAAATTGTGTAATTAGAAGAAATTTTTAATATAAAACTGAATGTTAACTTGACAACAGATAAGTAAAACTATACCATGCATTATGGGCTCAATCTGAAATTCAAAGGTAAATATTAATATATAAACTTGTTTTAATTATAGGTTCTCAGAAAAGTAGAGTAACCAAATGAAAAATGGTGATTCTCTCATCTCAAAAAAGTAATGTATATCAAACAAGTGTGATGAACCTTCATGAGTATATTGCTTTCACTTTTACTCTTCCCAATTCAGTAACACACAGTTATGTTCTATAAGTTATATCTTTTACAAATCATTATGAAATATATAAGACATATAAAATTAAGACAGTAGGTACCCATAGCATACCATATAGTATAGCACAGTATATATAGTATGTATACTAAGTACCAGTATGATTGAAGCTTATCTTTTACCCTGTAACCTCTTAATCAAGAGGATGGAAGACTTTATGTAAAGAATAGTTTCATGAGGGATTGACGCCTGTAGCATAGTGGTTACCGTGCCAGCCACATACACTGAGTCCAGTGGGTTCAATCCCAGCCTGGGCCCACTAAGCAACAATGACAACTGCAACAAAAAATAGCTGGGCATTGTGGCAGGTGCCTATAGTCCCAGCTACTTGGAAGACTGAGGCAAGAGAATCACTTAAACCCAGGAGTTTGGGTTGCTGTGAGCTGTGACAGCACTGCACTCTACTGAGGGGACATAGTGAGACTCTGTCTCAAAACAAAAAAAAAAAAGAAAAAAGAAAGAGGAATAATATCATGAGTACTTGAGTAAGCATGACAGATGTGGGTGGAAGCAATTTGGATTCTGCACACAGAATGCAGGTCTGTATAATCTCTTGGAATAAATAAAGAAGCATATAAGAAAGACCAATTCATGTAATTTATTTAGTGTTTCAAAGAGCCCTTGACATACACAGAAATATCTAAATAAAATGTGACATTCTCCCAGAACTTACTGGCATCAGTTCTATCAAACGTTTTTATAAATAATCTAGATTTGGAGGTATTCTTAAAGTATTATCCAGTTCTGTTAGAAATGGGTAATGACCCGCAGGAAGATGTGAGGGGTAGGAGAACTGATCAGATAAAAGTCAAAGCAAACAAGGGATAGTTCAAACTGTTTTGGGAAAATTATATGGCATTAGATGCTCTAGCTACCAGGAAAGCAATCCTTGAATTTGTAAAGGCTATTCTTTGAAGACATTACCCAATGTGCCACTGAAATAAGTCATCAATATCCTAGATATTATCAGGGAACATACTAGAAATAGAAAATATTATTTGTTCCTCTACTCTTGGAATGGCTTTATGCAATTAAGGTAGTTATGTTCAAGAAAGGTTGAATGGAATGAAGCTAGAAAATGTTCCAAAACGGATAACTACAATGACCACAAAGAAGATGAAGGTCTACCGACTACAGGCTTAACTGGAAAGATGAAGTCTGAATGTGGTTATGGTATAAGCTAGAATGTAAGCTAATTATAAAAGCTGAGACAAATTATGTAATTCAAAGAGTAAATGTTAACCTGATCCAATGCTAGCAGACAGAGTAACTGGAAAAATAAAACA